GACTGTGGACCTCTTCTTCAAATAATATTTTTAAATGTCTCAAAAGAAATTACAAAGGAGGCAAATCCTATTGAAAGTTATTTATCAAAACATTAAAAAAAGTCCATGGACTCAGGTTAAAAAGCTCATTTATGTTGTTAAGCATATTTGACTAATGGAGCAAAGGGAGATATTATTTATTAGTGCCAATTCAAAATAATTGAATACAAAAAGAAAAGAAAAGCAGAAATGAAATTGTTAAAAAAAAATAGAGCACTTCATTTCAATGGCAATACGCACCAAGCATTGAGACCATTTGGAAGGTATTTTGTGACAGTCTTATGGCATAAAGGAGTCCTTATTAGGATTTAGAGTTCTCCTCTTGACCATAGCTTTCTACAATGTGGCTCATGGTGCCCAACTTCTCCAGAGTAGGTGTGGCTGTCAATGGGTTAAGTCCTTGCTGGGGCACCCAGTATATATCTAAGGGAAGGCCAGTGGGCCAGCCAGAGAAATTGGGGCAAACAACCCCTTAATGAATTCAGGTGCTGAGAATAACATTTAAAACAATGGTAGTTACTTCAATGCAAAACTTTATTGCAAGCAATGGAGAAGAAGGAGAAGGAGAAAGCAGAAAAGCGAACCCAACATACAACTCAGGCATACATATTAACAGAGTATAATTCACATAAGGGCAGTGCTGCATTGAGGAGCACAAAAACAGGAATATATTCAGCAGTAAAAGGGGGAGTACTCTAGCACAAGGTGTGCTCCTCCTGGAGGAAAGGGCATGCTTCATAGCACCTATTTGAAAGTGGGGTACTTATCCTACGATTTTGGATGGCCTCCTTGGAGTTGGCCAAGTTGCATATCAGGGGTCAGAGCAAAATATTAGTGGAGGGGCTTGTCATTAGGGAGGAAAAAAAGTTGTTGACAGCCAAAATGCTATTAGGGAGACGTAGCTGTACCAACTTTTGAAAAATGTTATCGTAAGTATTTTTCCAGGAATATGTTCTATATGCTCATAACCATCCTTAAAGGGAGACTGTCATGGTGGTCTCAAGACCTGCAGGAGCAGTCATATGTCAGAAAGTCTTATAACAGGGACAGTTGAACAAAAAACAGTTGTTTCAATCTAATTGTTAGGTAAAAACAGAAAGCATGAGGACTGGATATACCAAGATCATTCTGAAGTGTTTGGAACACCTTTACCATCATACTGAGAGCCATAATACTTGGGGGAACATGTCTCAATGGAGTCTGGCTCTGATTCTAATTACTATGATATCTTAGTGATATTTATCTGGGAAACAAACACTCAATGAGTAATTGTTTGCTACCAGGAGAGCCCAACCTTTGGGACATAAAACTCCTGTGGAATCTTCTGTCCTTTTCATTCCCTTGGGTCCCAAAGAACAAATAAAAACTCCCTTACTGGAGGCTTGATATTTCAGAGTCAGCAGAGTTCCTGTCCTTTGTTCTAGCTGGCAACTCCAGTGGTAATGAGGATGGCCCTCCTTTACTCCCCTTCTCCTCCAAATGTTTCTTGGGTTTTGAAGTTATCCCATAAATAATTTTACCCTTTGATCAGGGTTGGCAAGGTACTTCAGTTATGATTTGCCAGGGGAAATGACAATGTGCTATTTTCCCCTTATAAGAGAATGAAGGTAAAAATCAACAAATACCAAACCTCTATTTCTGACAAATCTCAGGTCAGTATACAAATTCCTTCTGATTTTCATATGTTCAAAATTGAATGCAATTGTTGAGAAAATGGCACATTCATCTTCAGGAGAGTTGTCCCAAACCTACAAATATATGGCCTTACTTTAACAGACACCATGATGCAATGGATAAAGAGCTAGTCCCAGAGTGAAGAAATCCTGCCTCTTACATATATACTAGCTATAGGACCCTAAGAAAATCTCATAATTTCTCATTACTCTAGACAAATCTCTAAGTTTACAAACTGCGGAGATATTGCTGAACACCGTTGGTAATGGGTGCTTCCTCATCTTGGAGTTCCCTGTACTAATTAAATCACAAGTACACTCTCAATCCCCTGTTTCTTATTTCAGTAGTAAGCTGTGCTGTGAGTGTTTAAGTAATATGATGGCACCTCTTCTTCCTTGTAAACATTCTATGTATCATGTTGTTGCTGATGTTCAGTTGTTTCAGTAGTGTCCAACACTTCCTGCCCCTGTTTTGGGATTTTCTTGGTAGAAATATTGGCATGTTCTGCCATTTCCTTCTCCAGTTCATTTTACAGATGAGGAACTGAGGCAAACAGTGTTATGTGACTTGTACAGGGTCATACAGCTAGTAAGTATCTGAGGATGAATTTGAACTCATGAAGATGAGTCTTCCTGATTCCAAGCCCAGTGCTTCCAAGCCACCATGCCACCTAACTACCTATATCCATCAGAGGACTTGATTTTTCCCTCCTTACTTTAGTCCCCCCGATATGTTGCTGCTACTTCTTACTAGCCATTTGACATTAGATTATGACAGCTTCTCTAAACCTCAATTTTCTCATCTTTAAATGGGTCTTGGCTATGTCTAGAGCAATGAGGTATAATTGAAAGAATATTAGACCTGGAGTTAGGTGTTGACTTGACCTCAAAAAAATGCCTTTGACTATAGGAAAGTCACTTAATCTGCGCTGATGATCAATGACATATGGATAGAAAGCTTTATAATTTTATATATGTATACATATATACAGATACATATTTCTATCATCATTATTGTTGTTATTAAGCTTATTTGCTCTAAGCCAAGAGTTGTTTGGATTACAAGCTGTTCTATTTATTCTTGGCTCATGTTGGACTTGTAAGGGCTGCCAGAAATGACTTTGTGATGCCTAAGAAGGTGGTATGCAGTCTCCTTGCAGCTGCCTCTCTTTCTGCTCTGCGAGTTCTGGAGAACAATCTTAGCGTTATCCGAGCAGGGTAATGCACTGCTCCCTGCACTATTCATCTCTGTGTTTCCATGGCGCTGGTAGTCTTTCTTCAAGCATGACATCAGCTTTATTTTTGGTGATGCTTAGTGTTTTTTGGTTTGTTTTTATTTTGTTTGTGTGTTTTTTTTAAGGGAAACAATAGGACATTCTGCCAGAGATCAAGGATCTTCACATCCTGGCACTCAATAAAAATTTTTTTCTTAGACATTTTAATCCCTCTGAGGCACTACCACCCCAGGGGTTCAACAGTCTGCCTGCAAGGGATCACTCTCACTAAGTGTGGAATAATATATGATCTAATAATTTTGAAAGGATAATAGGCAACCCAATGTTAGCTGTTAGTTTAAATGTATTTTTTTTTGGAGGCAATTGGGGTTAAGTGACTTGTCCAGGGTCGCACAGCTAGTAAGTGTTATGTTTCTGAGGCTGGATTTGAACTCAGGTCCTCTTGACTCCAGGGCTGGTGCTCTATCCACTGTGCCATCTAGCTAGCCTTAAATGCACCTTTTTCACAAAAGAAATATGCATTATGAAAAATTCAGAATCAAATCTTTGTCAATATGTCATGTTCTTTGTTGCTTTATGTTTATTTTTAATTGGCTTTTCCTTATGTGGCTGTATATAAGTTGTTAACATTAGCAGGCGGATTATAGAGGGAAGGGAAAGTAAAGTTGAAATAAGATCACAGATTTAAAGCTAGAAGGGGTCTCAGAGGCCATCTAGTCTGCCACCCTTACTTACAGATAATGAAAACAAGGCCTAAGAAGATTAAGTGACTTGCCAAAGGTTCTGTAGGTAATAAGAGTTTCAGGTGGGATTTGAACCTGTATCCTCTATGACTTTCAAGCAAGTACCCTTGGCATTGTACCAAACTATGTTCCCTTATTAGAAGTCACCTATATACCAGGAATATATCACAGAGAGCCAGCGACCTATGCCCACAGCCCTTATAGGACACATAAACTAACATACTAAATAGAGAAATCCCAGACACAAACAATTAGAAAGGATTAAGCCTGTCAGTGGAAAGGGTACCACAGAATATAGCTACTGCCAAGACACTTAAAATAAATGCTGGGCACTGGAGAACACTCCATCGCTAACTTGGGTAAACTGGTGGCAAGTTGGCATAAGAGAAAATTTGTGATCCAGAGAACCTTCCTAATAATTAATGGTAGCACCACTATTTTGGGGTTCTACTACCAGCTTGATCTTCTTAAACCCTGGCTCAGGTATGGGAATACCAGAAAGAGAACCCCACCAGGCCACATCTCCTCATCGCGTCTTGATAAAGGATAGAAAAAATGACATTGTACTATCAAAATGTGTGTGTGTGTGTGTGTTGTGTGTGTGTGTGTGTGTGTGTGTGTGTGTATTCACTGGGTCTTCCAGGTCTTCAATATACAACTTTAAAAGATCTGTGATTTCTTTCATGTGCAGACCTCTACACATTCAGATTATAATTCTTCCACATCTTGATATTTGGTTAGCGAATTGTTGTAACCAAAGCTACATAGCACCTAGTGACAAATTTTCTGGTGACAAGATTCAGTTAATAAACATACAACTCCACTATTGTAATCCTGTGCAAAGAATTTCCAGCATTATAGAACTTGGGAGGCAGTATGAGTGTGAAGCACTAAGGATGGATCATGATCAGAGGACCTGGATTTGAATCACAACTCTGCCATTTAGTACTTTATGGCTTTGGACACATCAGCTCATCTCTCTGGGCATCTGTGTCCTCATCTGTCAAATGGAAGGATGAGGGGTAGGGTAGACTACATGACCTTCTGTCTTTGAATCTCTGATGCTAGGATCTCTCTACCAGAATATACACTCTGCTGTCATCGCTTTTGAGAATCCAGGGTAATGCAGAAACAAAGGTAAGACTTTAGTAATGACGCATACTAATTGACAAGGATTAAATCCTTCTGAAGAAATGACATTTTCCCTTCTGTTCTGTTCAAGAATTATCTGTTACTACATAATGAAAATATTTAATTTCTACTATGGCTTTTTTCTTCCCTGCAGTTGCCCTTCCCACATCTGCCTAGGAATGGCCTCAGAAAAGCATTCCACAGTAACTGAGTTTTACCTTGAAGGATTAACTAATCACAAGCCTTCAGTTTCCCCTTTTCCTTCTGTTCCTGTGGATATATGTGGTCACTATGTTGGGGAACCTGGGCATGATCCTCTTAATTGCTGTTAGTTCTCAACTCAAATCCCCCATGTACTATTTCCTCAGCAACTTGTCCTTCATAGATCTCTGCTACTCTTCTGTTGTTACCCCTAAACTTCTGGTGAATTTTATAGAGGACCAAAACATCATCTCTTATGCTGGGTGCATGACGCAACTGTTCTTTTTTTGCTTTTTTGCTATTGATGAATGCTACATGCTGACAGCCATGGCTTTTGATCGTTATGTTGCCATCTGTAACCCACTGCTCTATAATGTCGTCATGTCCCCGAGGGTCTGTTCCCTCCTAGCAACAGGAGTGTATGTGATAGGTCTTGTTGGTGCCCTTGCACATACAAGTTGTATGGCCAGACTGTCTTTCTGTGGTCCTAAGCTCATTAACCATTACCTCTGTGACATCCTTCCCCTGTTGAAGCTGTCCTGTTCTAGCAGTTATATTAATGAGCTTTTAGTGGTGTTTCTCCTTGGATTTAATGTGTTGGCAACCACTCTGGCCATCTTGATCTCTTATGCTTTTATTCTTTCTAGCATCTTCCGCATCAACTCTGCTAAGAGCAGGTACAAAGCTTCCAGTACCTGTGGTTCCCACCTTGCTGCTGTGGCAATTTTTTATGGCTCCATTATGTTTATGTATCTTAAACCAGCATACAGCAGCAGCATGACACAGGAGAAGGTAGCATCTGTCTTTTATACCACAGTGATTCCTATGCTGAATCCCCTCATCTATAGTCTAAGGAACAAGGATGTGAAGGAGGCACTAAGGAAAGTTATAGGCAGGAAGGTTTGTTGCACACAAATATAATTTTTAAAGTGAAGGCTCTAGTAATATGTTACTTTTTTCTATCCTAAATGTTATAATTGAATCTCCTTTTCCATCTCAAAAATGTGTAATCCATAGAAGCAGACAGAATATAAGAAATCTTAGAGATTACCTGGCCCAACTATGCCATTTTATAGATAAGGAAGCAGGCTCAAGGAGTTAAAGTGACTTAATAATGTCACAGATCATATTCTTTTTATTTTTTAACTTTTAGGCATTTGGGGTTAAGTGATTTGCCTAGGGTCACACAGCTAGTAAGTGTCAAGTACAGGAGGTCTGGTCTGGCCCCCTGGTCAATGGCAAATTTTGCTTTGAGGCTACCTAAAATCTACATTGTATAAATTTTGTATGTACATGTTATCTCTTTAATTAGAGCACAAGGTTTTTGAGGTACCTTTTCATTTTTATATTTTTATCTCTTCTAGCCTTACCATATCAAAAACTATATTTTAAAGCAGCAATCATCAAAACTATTTGGTACTGGCTAAGAAATAGAGTGTTGGGTCAGTGGAATAGGTTAGTATGCAAGACACAGTAGTCAATGACAATAGTAATCCACTGTTTGATAAACCCAAAGACTCTACCTTCTGCGATAAGAACTCACTATTTGACAAAAACTGCTGGGAAAACTAGAAACAGTATGGCAGAAACTAGGCATAGAACAACATCTTATACTGTATACCAAGATATGGTCAAAATGGGTACATGATTTAGACATAAAGGCTGATATCATAAGCAAATTAGGAGAGCAAGGAATAGTTTACCTGTCAGATCTATGGAGAAGGGAAGAATTTATGAGGAAACAAGAGATAGAGAACAATATGAAATGCAAAGTGGATTATTTTGATTATACTAAATTAAAAAGTTTTGGCACAAACAAAGCCAATGCAACAAAGATTAAAAAAGCAGAAAGCTAGGGGGGAAATTATAGCCAATGTCTCTGGTAAAGACCTCATTTCTAAAATATATAGAGAACTAAGTCAAATTTATGAGAATACATCATATAATAGTCAAAGGATACAATCAGTCAGCTTTCAGATGAAGAAATTAAAGCTATCTAGTCATATGTCATATGAAATCATATGAAAAAATGCTCTAAATAACTATTGACTGGAGAAATGTAAATTAAAACAACTATCAGGTACTGCCTCACACCTATCAGATTGGCTAATATGGCAAAAAAGGAAAATGATAAATTTGTAGAAGATGTGGGAAAATTGGAATACTAATGCATTGTTGGTAGAGTTGTGAACCTTTTTAACCATTCTGGAAAGTGATATAGAGCTATGCCCAAAGGGCAATAAAACTGTGAATACCCTTTGATTCAGCAATACCACTACTAGGTCTGTATCCCAAAGAGATCATAAAAAATGGAAAAGCACCCACATGTACAAAAATATTTATAGCAGCTCTTTTTGTGGTGGCCAAGAATTGGAAATTAAGGGGAAGCCCATCAATTGGGGAATGGTTGAACAAGTTGGGGTACATGAATACTGTTGTGCTATAAGAAATGATGAGCAAGTGAATTTCAGAAAAACTGGGAAAGACTTACATGAACTGATTCTGAGTGAAGTGAGCAGAACCAAGAGAACATTGTACACGGTAACAGCAACATTGTGTGATGATCCACTTTGATAGATTTAGCTCTTCTCAGCAATGAGATCCAAGACAATTCCAAAAGATTTATGATGGAAAATGCTATCCACATCCAGAGAAAAAATTATGGAGTCTGAATGAAGATCAAAACATATGACTTTCTCTTTTTTTTTCTTTCTCATGGTTCTTCTCTTTTGTTCTGATTCTTCTTTCACAACATGACTAATGTGAAATATGTTTAATATAATTGTACATGTATATCCTATATCAGATTGCTTGCTGTCTTAGGGAGGGGGGAGGGGAGTGAGGGGAGAGAAGAGGGAAGGAAGGAGAAAAAAATTTGGAATTCAAAATTGTATAAAAGTGAATGTTGTAAACTATCTTTACATGTAATTGGAAAAAAATATTAAGTGGAAAAAAATATATTTTTATCTCTTGATAAAAATGTACTTGAAATGGCCCCAACATTTTTTGGATTCCTTGAGGGGTATCAATGCAGCTTCTGCTTTGAGGCTACCTAGAATCTACATTGTGTTTTATATGTACATGTTATCACTTTAACTAGAATCTAAACTTTTTCCAGGACAACTACTTTTTATTTTTCTATTTTTCTATTTTTGTCTCTTGATAAAAATATGCTTGAATGGCCCCAACATGTGTTGGATTCCTTTTCTGCTTTGTCATTTAGAGCCCTCTACAACATGGCCCCAAACTACAAATCCAGGCTTATTTACATGTTGTTTTTCTGTCATTTTTCAGTCATGTGTGACTCTGGCCCACCAAATGATTTTGGGTGGCCCACAAAATATGCCTCTACATTTTTTGTGGGCCACCCAAAATCATTTGGCATGCCACAGTTGGCCTGCAGTCCTCAGGTTGTACAGGCCTGCTTTTTGTGATCCCATTTCAGGTTTTCCTGGCAATTCCTTGCCATTTCCTTCTCCAGTTCATTTTACAGAAGAGGAACTGAGCAAACAAGGTAAGTGAGTTGACCAGGGTAACAGAACTAGTAAGTGTCAGAGGCTGGATTTGAATTCATGAATATGTCTTCCTGATTCCAAGCTAAGTGCTCTATCCAGTGTAACTCAGCTGCCCCTTATTTGTAAACCATTCTCCTTAACACAGAGTATGTTCCAATCAATCTGGCCTTCTTACTATTTGTCATACGTGGAAATTATTCCCCAGATACAAAACTTTGTACTGACTCTTCTCAATACTTAGAATGTAGTTTTACCTTGCCTCTGACTTTTGAAATTCTTAATTTTCTTCAAGACCCTTCAAGACCCTGAGAACTCAAATTCTGTTTTATGAGAAATACTGAATTCTTCTTTCTTTCTCGATTCCTCAAACTGCTAGATTGTTTCCCCAGTCACTGTGTATCTAATGTGTATATGTCTGTATCATACATGATTTCTCTCCCAGTAAAATGGAGGCTCTTTTAGAGCAGATTGTCTTACTTTCATCTTTGTATTCCCAGTACTTATCACAGTGCCCGGCACATAGATGCATTTTGATAGATTTGGATTGATTGATGACTGAAGCCACACTTAAAGAACATCTTAGCAGTTCTCAGCCAGCTGCCTCTACTCCTTTCACTCCTGACCTCAGTGATGAACTTGATGAATTCACTCTTTCCATTTAGAGTTTCTGCAAAGTGTAATGTAGTATAAAGAGCACTTGATTTTGAGTTGGAGGACCTGAGTATGAATCCTGTTGAGAAAACCAGAAATGCGTAGAACCTATAAAATGTAAACACAGGGGACAAAAGAGTCCTCAAAAGCTAAATGTATCTGATCAATTTGAAGGAAGTTAAATTATGATCCAGTGCCTACCTCTTAATGGAAGTAGGGGAAGGGGGAGCAGATCACTATTCCTTCAAACTCTCATTGTCTGAAAGGTTGAAACAGAGAACAAAGACAAATTGAGGGTCTGTATGCATGTGTTTTCTATTTTGTTTGTCTGAAGAAAGGAAAGGAGAAAAATAGGAGATCACTATGCCTTTGTTTTTTTTTTGAGTGAGGCAATTGCCCAGAGTCACACAGCTAGTAAGTACCAAGTGTCTAAGGTTGGATTTGAACTCAGGTCCTCCTGACTCTAAGGCCAGAGCTCTATCCATTGCACCATCTTGCTGCCCCTCTAGAGAGATGAGAAATGAGAAAGAAAGAAGAATTCAGTATTTCTCATAATTGGGACATGCCAGAAAAATACAAAAAACAAAACAAAACAAAAACAAAAACAGGCAGGGTGATCAGGAAGAGCTGGAATCTCATGAAATTTGCTCTGATATAAATATAATGATGTGTTGAACACATATATACACAATGAGTTTAGTATAGAAACACATAAAAGTTAATAAGGAAATAGGTATGAGAGTGAGGAAGAAGAAAGACTGAGATTTAGGAAATAAGGAAAAGTTGAAGAAGTGAAAGTCATAAGATAGTACCATAGAAGATACTTTCCTGTATGTACTTTTGAACTCCAGACTTTGGTAACATGCTTCAGCAGCTTTCTAATCTTGAAAAATGCCTTATTCCATGAGGCCTTCTTATCCTGGGTGATCCCTCTGCTCCTGTGGCCCCTTCTTCTGCTTTGGTAAGCTTTTCCTAGAATCTTCTCTTTTTCTCATTAAATAATTAATTTATTTTTAGCTTTCAACCTTCACTTCTATAAGATTTTGAGTCCCAAATTTTCTCTCTCTCCCTCCCTTTCCCCCACCCCAAGACAGAGTGCAATCTGATATAGGCTCTACATATACATTCATATTAAACATATTTTGACATTTGTGTTGCAAAGAAAAATTAGAACCAGTGGGAGGAACCATGGAAAGAACAAAGAGAGAGAGAGAGAAGAGAGAGAGAGAGAGAGAGAGAGAGCGGGCAAACAATATGCTTCGGTCTGTATTCAGACTCCATAGTTCTTTTTCTGGATGTGAACAGCATTTTCCGCCGTAAGAATTTTGGAGTTGTCTTAAATCCTTGCATCACCAAGAAGAGGTAAATCTATCAAAGTTAGTTATCACACAATGTTGCTGTTTCTGTGCACAATGTTCTGGTTCTGCTGACTTCACTCAGAATCAGTTTACATAAGTCTTTCCAGGATTTTCTGAAGTCCATCTGCTCATCATTTATGTAACAATAGTATTCCATTACACTCATATACTACAACTTGTTCAGCCGTTCCCCAAGTGATAGGCATCCCCTCAATTTCCAATTCTTGGCCACCACAAAAAGGGCTGATATATAATATGTATGTGTGAGTGTGTGTGTGTGTGTGTGTGTGTGTATGCATTGGTGACCCAATTTCCCATTTCTTCTCCAACATTTCCATTTTCCTGTTTTGTCATGTTAACCAGTCTGATAGGTGTGAGGTGGTACCTAAGAGCTGTT